CCACCTTCTGGCTGAGGTGGTGGGGGATCACCTCCGGGCGCTCCATTCGGAGCCTTACCGGTCTGATCACTGGTTCCCAGTGGCAGTGGTGGAATCACACCTTCGCCTGACCTCATGGAGTTCAATGGTGAACCAAAAAGGGACTCTTCATTCGGTTCCTTCTTGACCGGATTGTCCTTTGGTTCTTGTTTGACGGTTTGCCTAAGCATAGCCGGGTTGGGGATGGATGGAGAGTAATCTCGGGTCTGAAATTCATCGTTGCCCCCTGCAGGAATCATTGGAAGACCCCTTGGACCCAAAACGGCTGGACCTTCCGGCGCGCGAACGGCGGACCAAGAACTGAACAGGTCGTTCTGGAGTCTGGCATCTCGGAGAGCACTCAGTTGGCTTTGGAGATCAGTTTGCTTCTTCATGGATTGTCTCAATTCCAAATGAAGACTTTCCGTTTGCCGATTCTGGCGCTCAACATGGTTATTCAATGACTCAATGGTTGCCATGCACTTCTCAATTGCATGATCACTACGAATACGTGCATCTAACATCTGACTCTCATGGTGTTGTTTCATGGACCTAAGCTCGGCCGCGGAAGCCTCGGCATAAGCCTCGTAACCTCTCTGGGCAGCTTCAACGAAAGCGGTGGCTTCCTGTTTGACGACCGTGTTCTCATGAAACATTCGTTCAGCTTCGTTCATAAGCCTTAAGCCCTGTACTCGCATTTCGTCACGCTGAGTACTCACTAGACGGAGTTGTTCACCCTGAATGTCCATGGCGTGCCGGTGACGTTCTTCGGCAACGGCCTCAATCAAACGAGCATCGGTGGTTGGGGCTTGGTGAACATGCACGTGCTGGTTCAATACGTTTGTCTGACTTACAGTATTGGCCGGCACAGCGTTCCCGCTGGCACTTGCTGTGGGAGGGTTGTACTGGAGAATGTCAGGCCCAACTGGCGTGTCCAAATAACCATAACCCTCGGGAACAAGTGCCGTGGAACTTGCGAACTCAGGCGTTCCCTCACGCGCGGACATATTGTCCTGATCTGACACCAAATCAATGATTGGTGGATACCCAATGCCTGCCATGGTAGGACGCGCGCGGGACGGCGAGGTGAGACAAAAGAGACCTACGGCTGATAACCTATTTCAGATAGGAAACAGCCTATAAGCACCAGTTTTCCTTGAGCCAAATATACGCGTCGTTAGGGCAATGACTATGTACAGTAGCTGTGAAAAATAAAGATAAACCCGCTGAAGTGCCAACAATCCATTTTGCAGTTGCACCAGTGGTGCTGTCGATTGTGAGCAGTCTACACAAGCCTAAGGGAGAATCAAGACCCTTACTGTAACGCCTTGGTAGCTTCAAACACCGCAGAAGCAAACATGTTCAATCAATCTCCGTCTCGTCTCAGACCCTTCACGAGATCTTCGCGTCATATTCAGGCAAGTTGCACTTCAGAATCGGTGACCTTAGTGCATATCGTGTTACAATGTCAACTTCACACGCATGTGGTGTGATACGAGGTTTGAGCACAGTGCAAAGACGCAGTTTCCAATGCTTGGAGACGGATTGAATAAAGGGTATCACTTGTGCTGGACAGTAGCCCGAGACCCAATGAAGGCATACTCGCCATACTTCCAAGTGCCAATCCCGGACGCCTGGCGCGAAGAGACCGGATTTCAAGAAGGGTGCATTTTTATTAAATCAATTCTAATAGCTTCTTGTTACTAGTAGTAAGGCACTTGTTACTACTAGTAAGGCACTTGTTACTAGTAGCGATGCACTTGCATGCAAACATGTTGAGGCTGGCCGGTGCGCTGATGCCCAGGCACTGAACGATGAGCTCAGGACTCCGAGTGCCCTGCAAACACAGGTTCGGACTGGACACAACATGACACAACCAACATGGGCTTTGATGCGCCAACTTCAACAAATGCTTGGACAAGTCCCCACTTCTGCATGCAAAACTGGACTGCCGTTGTGTGTGTGCTCCTTATCTTATTCTGTAGATTGCACTTCGTGCTGTGGGTGCAGCACAATCGCTAGAATGACCTTAAGGAGATCGAACAGGCATAATTAAACCACTTGAAAAAGGTCAAGTCTTTGCTGTTTGGTCTGGTCTTGTTAGACCCACCAATTCAAAGTAGCCCCTGCAAGTAGCCCAACAGCGGGTCCAGAAAAACAACGCCTCTGACACGACAACCGGCGAAAGCCAAAAGCAAGAAGCAATCGGCAAAAGTCTGTTTTGGCTGGCGATTGGGTTGGCGTGTTGGCTTCAGTCAAGTCAAAACGATACAGTGCACTGAAGTGGCAAAGGATGAAAAGGGCACCTCCAGCCGCAACCTCGGCCGAAGAGACCAAAAAAGACTTAAAAAAGGATCGTGACGGCGCATGCCAGTTGGAGGTGCAAAGCAAGCAACAGGTGCAAATCTCCTGAGGAACCGCTTATGAGCCATCGGTTGCCACAGGCATTGGCCTTCACCAGAACCAACGGTGCCTGCAAAAATATAAAACATATACTCTTGCCCCTCTGCCAATGATTGTAGATGTTTGGAGTCTAGTCTAGACATGTCATTGGCCATGCCAAGCCTGTATTCCGCGCAGGGAGCTCAAGGGCTGCAGCTTGGGGTCATAGAGGCGCACAAAGCCAGCGCCCACAACCTCAAACTTCGAGCTTACCGGTGAGCAGTCTCAAGCATTCTGTTCTGCGTTGTTCTGTTGCATCAGCATGGCAGTGTCATGTGCACTTGTGCACCCAGCCTTTGCCTACATCAAATGGCGAATGCTCAATTAGATTTATAGGCATGTGCCACGGCCAAACATGTGGCAAGGTCAAGAAAACACAGAGCGAGGCTTCTTAAAGGCTGCCAAAGTGCAAGGACAGCGCCTCAAGGCTTGAGTTTACATGGAGAAACGTCCCTTTTTCATGTCCAATGCAAAAGGACTGCAAAGACCGCAACAACCAACAGGTTTCCTCTTGCGGGCTGTCCTTGTGCTGCCCACTCACCCGCTGTGTTTGGTGGAACACATGCCATTAGGGTTGCGTCGACGTACTGCCTGGCAGGCCCGAAAATGCGCCTTTGATGAGGATGCCCGAACAAGGCCCGAACGTCACTATCGATGAACTAAACAATGGTAAATGTTAATCAAAAGAGCGCATTGCTGGTGGAACACGTAGATATCCTGAAAATATTCCGACCGCCCGTTCTCTGCGAGTGCATCGAGCAGATCAGGCCTGCCAGGCACATTCGCAAGGCCCCGAGCAAATGGAAGCTCTGGCTTGGCTGCTGCCTTGGAGCTCCTAGGTTGCGAGGAACTGTGTTCCATAGGTCGTGACATGACACACATTTCGACAAAATATGTTGAACGGCTTCTTCATGCTTCTAGTGTCTTCTATTATTGTCATTGTCTAATTTCTATATGGCAACTCAATCTTCTCATGTTGCTTTTCCACAAGAGACCATGCAGTACTATGTACTATAATCTGCCAGTCTTAATACCAGTCTAGATCCCCCAGGCATCCCAACCAGTTCGCAAGCTCGAAATGTAAGTCTTACAGTCTTACAGTGTTACAATGGCTGCTTCTTTCTCCTCAAGTCATCCTCTTCCAACAAAAATGTATACGTACAATTCCCACTCTTCCTAATAGCAAGCGAACAAAATTTGCAGGAGCAACTATTGAAAGGAGGGGTGACGCGATCAAGGCTCCACAATGCAATCTTATTCTTACATATCCTTAAGCATGTTGCACGCAACCATCCTGCCCAAGCGCTTTTTGTGGAGGTCGATGCAATGGATGCAAAGCACCTTCGGCCCGTCCTGGACTGCAAAAGGATGGAAATGATTGCACAAGCGAAGGGAAGTAAAGAATTGGTGCAGTCCTCCCAACCACCGTAGCTATCCTCTCGCGCATGCAAAGCAACCAGGGTTGCACGTTCACTGGGACCATCCTTGCAAGAGTGCTATCCAATAAACGCAACGCAATGCAAAACAATAGCGTGTGCTGGAAGCTGATAACCACTCCAGCCCACATAGCAAGGAAGGATCAACATGAACGATTTAGTGCCAGACTGCCGAATCTTCATCTGAGAGCAAGAAGTCCAAACATGCGATCTGCTCGCTCATATCAACATAGAACATCTTGTTGGCGGACTTCCTTGTCACGCAACGTCCCGGAATGCACTAATTTCTCTGCAGAGCATGGCATACACAAAGAGATGAGACAAGCCGAGCCCAAAGTTGGTATGAAGCGTCGATGTTCTGTGCAAAAATGCGGCACCCCAAACATGAATTGACGACCCCATGGGATAGACTGGGAGTTCGATGAAATGGATGTACACCAGTGTAAAGAATTGAGGTGAGCGTATGCCAAAACGTACTATCAAGAAGAGGACATGATTCAGCAAGGTTGGGGGCCTATCGCTTTTGCAGGTTGTAGCAACAATAATGCCAACATCTCCACAAACTGCAGAAGTATGGTTATCGCTCTTGAGGGAGCCTATTGGCCTATTGTGTTCGCAGGCTTGAAATTTGAAGTTTTAACCCAATTCCTGACAATCACGGCCGCACTGTACTAAATTAATCATTGACGTTTTTGCGGTTGCTCATATGGAACAGCAATGAGAATCACACAGGAAAGTAACAGTTCGATGCATCAAGGTATCAAATCAACTACTCCGCCATGGTCAAATGCTGCTTCAAGGCCTGTGAGATCCAGGATCGCAAGGATGCTACTGTACAGATACACCTTGGCAGTGGTTCAAGTGCACCGCAATCAACCAACAATATTACCTTTTTGGTGGCCACGATCCTTGATGCAAACTCCAGGTTCACGAGAAATACATGTGAAGTTTTCTCTTAATAGTACCTATTGGCCCCTACGGTTGTTGGTCTCACAGACATCAACTTCAGGTGATGCTGAAGGTCCTTCTCAATAACGATACCCCATGCCAAGATTAGATTGCTCTGCCTTCTTCAGCGAAAACCACACAAACTCCACAAACAAATTGTATGGAACCCCTTGACAATAAGTGCAAAGAATAACATGATAAGACCAAACATCAGCTAGTGTTCTGTTCCCTTGCACTTTTGTAGGCAATGTGTATACAACATATATATATATAATATACACAAAGAGAGGGAGAGATGTGTGTATATGTATCTTAAAAAATGTCACTGCACTCACGTGAGGATCTTTTCCGAGGTTGCGCGAGAGGACCTGTCAAGCACGTGAGAAACACTACCAGCTGCTTTATCAGCTGGTAGATAGAAACGACCACGGCTTATCTTTGCACGACCCTCAGCATGGTGTGCCTAACCGTGATCTCACTGTATCTTTCCCCCGATCGGTAGACATGGTGGAGTTTGGGGTTGGATGGTGGGAGAGCTGAACGTGGATTGAGCCACGCAGCTACCGATCGTTACGTGACAAGCCGTGTACTGCGTACAACTAGCCGTCACTGCACTCACGTGAGGATCTTTTCCGAGGTTGCGCGAGAGGACCTGTCAAGCACGTGAGAAGCACTACCAGCTGCTTTATCAGCTGGTAGATAGAAACGTTATCTTTGCAGGACCCTCAACATGGTGTGACCTAACCGTGATCTCACTGTATCTTTCCCCCCACTTTAGTAAACTTACAGTGAGGTCCGCGTTACCCCACTCTTAATCGAACTAGCCTGTGAGGGGAAATAGAAAACCCAACGACACGACCCCTTCCCGCCTTCTTCACCAAGGGTCCTGCCAGCGAAGCTGTCCCTTCTTGCTCCTGACCTTCTCTCCACTGGCGCTCTCCATGGCCTGCTTGGCCTCCTTCGAAGTTTTGTGCAGGCGAAGCTCTGAGTCGAGCTCCCCCGCCTTCTCCAAAAGCTTGCCCATGACCATGAACTCGAGCTGTTCAAACTGAACGTTGATGCGGCGTCTCTCGTCGAAGTCGTCGAAACGTTCGTTTGTAAGGTCATCAGCCTCTTGATTCTGCCAGCGTGGGACCCATTGTAAATCAAGCTCAATCCCTCGGCGGTCCAACTGTGCCGACAGCTCCATTGCCACTAATACTAAGGGGGTAGCGACTGCTTGCAAACTTCTTCAAGACATGTGTATTCCCCAGATTGTCTGTGAGAGCCGACAAGGTGACTGTCGAGTCTCCCTTTGCCCAGCTTGCATCAGGCGCCAGCACCATCACCGCTGCCAGCACCCCAATGAGCTCCAATGTTGCGATCGACCGAAAAGGGTCGCCTCTGCAGGTACGCCCATGCGGCGTTCCGACGGTTGAGCTTGAAGGAAAACCAACAAGCCCGAGACAGCGGTGCGCTGTTCCAAGATCCCAGCCTCCGATCACGATTTCTTCTCCCGCGGCCTTGGCGTCCACCCGGAAAATGTCGGTTGGACTGGCTAACAAAGGTTCTAGGCCCCTCACCGGCTTCCGGGACACTTCCTCCCTCACAAATTCAAGCAGGATAACCACCGCGTCCGGAAACTTGGCGAAAGTGCCACCCGCCAGCGATGAAGACCACGCGAAGAGTGGGGCCAGAAAAGGCCTGACGTGGCGTAGCGCTCCAGCCACAAACGACAGCCTGCCCAGAACTGATTTTAGCTCTCGGCCTAGAACACCTCCTTGCTGCAACTTGTCATCAACCCACTTCAGAATCCAAGTCCTCTCGGACTCGTTAATCCCTCTGGTGAAGGCTGCCACGTCCAGATGGTATCCAATCCAGTCGACCCCTGCACCACCACGCACCTTCTTCCACGTGATGGGTATTTCCAGGAGCTCGTAAAGGAACAACCACATAAGCATCTTCTTCCAGAACTTGGTGCCCGTTGCTGTCAACCATCCATCATCGGCATAGATCAAATGCAGGAGCCCCATGTGCCTCCCCATGAGGCGGTGACAACAGCGAACGAACTACCACGCCAATGACTCGACCGAACCAGTAGGCAGCACTCGCAATCCCGAAGGTACCCCGTGTATGCATGTAAACGTCTCCAGGCTTTCTGTGGGTATTTCAGCTGGGCAAGCAAATATGAATTTGCCACAACTGCCATCCTCTTGCGGAGCTCCTCTGGGTTTCGAGGCTTTTGGCATTCCCCATAACCCTTCTTAATCTTGAGCGTGCCTGTCCCCCGTTCCACGGTGGCGCCCAAGATATCCGCCTCTGCATCCTCCCTACTGAGGAATTGCACAAGGCTCATATTCTTCAATTCGCCCTGCTCCATCTGGTCGAAGATCTGCTCGAGGGTCGAAGCTGCAGGTGTATTGCGATCCTCCAGCTTGATGTTGTGCACGGTCTGGAACTTGATGATCAGCTCCTGCACCTCTACCTTGTTCAGAGCCCTGGGAACACTCGCAACCCCTGCTTCTGCCTCCGCTTTGTTGCGCACAGCCACCCTGGTGCTTGCTGATTCCCATGCGTCAACAAGCGCTGCAATCTCCACCACATCTCGGGTTGCATCCAGGCTTAGAACATCTGCGCAGAACGTCCTCATACCTGCACGTGTGTCAGCAATGGTGCTCATCCTGCTCACACTACGAACCCTTGCCACTGCCAACTTCGCCTGGGACACCTCATCGACCTCCTTCACTTGTAGGAGTCCATGTAGATCCGCATCGAGAAGCGCGATGGCGTTCCTTCGACGCTCATCCGTATCATGACCGATCCCGGCCATGATCTCTATATAGCCCACTGCGCCGGCCCGTCCGCGCCGACGCCCCGTGCTAGGCCAAAAGAGGGAGACACGCCATGCGTTGTGGATCTCCTCTCACCTGACCGTGTGCTTCTGTACTTCTAGACGAAACATGACTGCACAGATGTGAGCACAACTCTCAAGAGAGACAAGACCTCGCCTTTCACCTCTTATTGCCTTCTTACAACACGCGACCGACCGAGCGAAACGACCCCCCAGCTCCGTCGATCCCTCTCCTCCTAGTGGCTCTCCTCAACTCTCTACGGAAGCGCCCACCCCTCTTCTGGCGCTACTTCTACCCCCCTTAGTGCAGCACTCCCCCGACCCGAGAAGACTGCTCTCGCGTCCTTTCGTGCCGCACTCTGCCACGCGGTGTGTTCTGATCTCCTTCACGGGATGAACGCCCCCTTGTCGCCTTGTCACCCCGTGCTTTCTTCTTCTCCTGACTCCGTCATCTCTGACGACGTGACCTCGCCCGAGGATTCATCCTCCCCGAGCGCACCAGCGGTCGCAGCCACATCCGCTACGCCGAACCGGAAACACTGGCGGCACGCCTTGTGGTAGGCCGCCGTGCTGGGCGCTTCCTGGCCTAGCACCTCGAAATGGGCGTAGTGTACCCCTGGCTGCCTGTGGCAGTCACCAATACGGTGTAGAGTCTTGGTCTTCGACCTGCCCGCCACCGAAACCACAAACATTCCCGCCACCTTCTCCAGCGGCAGGACCTTGGATTGATCCGTCTCGACCTCCTGTGGGTCGTCGCTCTGTTCATCCAAGTCTCCATTCTCTGTCTTGACCTCCACGATGTCCTCCTCATCTCCCACCAACACCACAGGCCCTGTGGTCGTCCACTTGGGCCTGAGGCAGGGCCTGGCCGTGTCGTGGCCTGGCATGAAGGTCATCAAACACATCATCTGCTCATCGCATTCTTCCTGCTTGAAGCCCATGCCCCGCATACGCTGCTCGACGAGCTGCACCGCGCTCGTCTCATCGAAGGGATCGGAGTTCGCCATGTTCTCCTTGACGAACGTTGCCAGAACCTTCTGGCTGCGCAGCACGTTCACCTTGACATTCTGCTCATATGCTTCGTCCGCTGATGGACGCCACCTCCCGATCATCCGCCGAACATGTCCGCACAGTGACCCTCTCACTGTGCTCCGTCCACAACACTCCCAAGCCTGGCTGCAAGAGAGGCTTTGCGCCTTCGCCCTTTCCAGCGCGAATTTCGTTGAACAGGGCCTGCGACATAGTCGACGCTATAGGGTAGTCCACCACCTTCCTCGCGAAGCCGCTGCAGTTCTTGTCAGGCCATGGCAACATGAAGTCTCTCGTCGCCAGGCCTGAGCTAGTCCCCATAGCTGACCAGAGCTTCCAGCCCACCTCCAACCAATCCTTCTCCATGATCCAGGCCTGACGGCTGATGTAGAAGGGGAGCAAGATCACATGCTTTCCAGGGCCTGAGGTCCAGGGCCTGAGGTCTTCGAGCGGTGAATGACCCCTTTCAGGCACGTGTCACTGAGCTCCAACGTGCGATTCGGCACGCCTCTGGTGTCGTCGAACCTCATGCCTGTCCACAGCTTTGTCAGCCGAAACCAAGCATATACGCGATGATAGTTGGGCTTCGACTCATCGCATACATGCTGTGTTCCCATGCGATCACGATGGAGACCGGGATGACCAGCGCCTTTCTCGAAGGCTTCAACTCCACCGACTGCAGCCTCAAGTTTGCCTCTTCTAGGGGGCGTTCTTGATTGCTGGTGCACGGCATAGTTGATCTGCCTCTGGCACCTTGCCGGCGTACTCGAGGAACATGAGCGCCTTGTAGACAGCCTCGGGAAAGCTGCGGGCGCAGGGTTACTCTACCATTGCCTCCAAGAACTCCGCGAAGCATTCCGGGCTTGCCGGCCACTGCTCACCAAAGACCGCATCCAGCCATCTGGAGGCTTTCATCCACGTCTTGACGTGCTTCCTCAACGTGTTGGCACGACGTCCTTTTGCCACCCGGATGAGCAGCGCATCGTCGCTGGAACGCTGTGCCACTGGAAGCTTTGCTGCTTTGACTATATCTCGAAT